TCGTCCCCTTGACTATGACCCCGTTCTCACACCCCGACCAACGCGGGTCGTTCAGGCTCAAGGCGGGGCTGCTGCGCAGCACCAATGGCGGGAAGCGATCCGCAGCACTTCGCAACGTGGCTGCCCACGGCGCCAACAGCCAGCACCAACAGCACCACCACCAACAGCAGCTGCAGCAGCAGCAGCGACGCGTGCGACCGCACGCTCAGTCTGTCCGCCACCGGCAGCTACTGGCAGCAGCAGCAGCAGCCAGAGGAGCAGCACTGGGGCGTGTAGCGAACAGCCGCGCTTGTGTGCATGCACGCAAGCGAGATGACGCACGATCCTCCCCACCAACACCCGTCAACCTGGCGGATAGCCACCGTGCTGAGGTTGTTGCTGGTGGTGATGATCAAGATGTCGCCAGCACCAACGGCACTGCACAGAATGAGAACGCACTGCCGACCAGTCTCCAACGGCACCAGGGCCGCCACCAGCACCATGAAAACAGCAAGGATGTTGACAGAGACGACGACCAAAGTCGTTGCAATGGAGGATTCGGCACAAATAACGACAGCGTCACAGTTGAGGACATGGGCGAGCACTCTGTCTTGACACCGCCACGTCTCATCAAGCAACAGTCGGCCCGCAACCTGTCACTTGATCTCGCGTCAGCTCAGCAAGATGAACGAGCGCAAGAGACGCTCTGCAGCTCCACACCAACTGCCATCACGCATACCAACACGCTGCCCTCACCACCACGACGTCGTGGCATGCAGTTGGAGGCGATGCGGCTGCTGTCATCTCGTCTCCTCACTGCACACCACACCCAACAACAAGAACAACAACAAGAGCAACAACAAGAACAGCAGCAGCAGCAGCAGCAGCAGGAGCAGCAGCACCAGCACCAGCAGCAGCAGCAACAACAGCAGCACCAGCAGCAGCAACAACAACAGCAACAACAACAACAACAACAACAGCAACAGCAGCAGCAGCAGCAGCAGCAACAGCAGGATGCTTGCAACACGCGCGGTGATGATGATGGGGATGATGACGATGACGCTGAACCGGCATGCAAGAAGCGCAAGAGCGCTGATGCCTGTGCCATCTGTACCACCAGCATTGTTGCATGCAAGCAAACCTTCAGCGCTATCCCGACACACGACACCACACCATCACCCTCGTCATCTTCGTCGCATTCGGCAACCTCGGCAGCATCATCGCCTCTGTGTTTCAGTGAGCAGGGCTCCGTGACCACCTTGACCGACACAGTAGACACGATGTATGCGCGCTTGCATCAACAGCGTGACCACCCCCTGATGCCCCCACGCCTCGCTGGTGCGTGTGCTGCATGCTGCGTGGAATACAATGCCTGCTGCTCCCTCCTGCATCGGCTTGCGCCAGCACCATTGGGCGCTGTATGGGCGTGCGATTGCGACAATGATGCTATTCCATTGCCTGCAGGCACGAGTGGATGCCACGCACATGTACGCACCGCACTGGAGGTGATGGATCGTGGCAGCGGTTGCGACGATGACAACAACACGATTGACAGCCGTGTGGGGGAACATTGCGTGGTGGTGGCTGGCATTGCTGCACACGATCATGAGATGGGTGTAGTTGGCGCTGGCGATGTGTATGCGACCAGTGATGATGTGAGTGATGATGTGAGTGATGATGTGAGTGATGATGTGAGTGATGATGGAAGTGATGACAGTGATGGGACGGACAGTTTCGTGTGTGACAGCGATGATCGACAGGAGAGTAACAACACGACCGAGAGTGAAGAAGAAGATGACGATGATGATGATGATGATGATGATTTGGGGGTGTGCCTTCCTGTCACGGATGCAGCATTGTGCGACGCAGGCGTGTACATTGCACGTGATGATGATGATGATGATGATGATGATGATGATGATGATGATGATGATGATGATGATGATGATGATGATGATGATGATGATGATGATGATGGTGATGATGATGATGATGATGATGATGAGTTGTATGCAAGCACGCCGTCATCAGCACAGCTTCCAGACGTCGGTGTGTGCTGTATGGATTTGCGGGAAGTGCGTGCGTTGATTGCTCGTCTGTTGGCACAAACCAACCCCAGACCATAACTGCACTCCAACACGATGCTTCTCCACACACGCACACACACACACACACACCCCACAACCCAACACACACACAGACACACACACACACACACACACAGACACACACACACACACACACACACACACACACACACACACACACACACACACACACACAGACACACGCATGTCCATCAGATCGCATCAGTGGTTCATTCGTATTTGTTTCCGTGTTTGTTTGAAAGCAGTAAAAGATGACCCAATTAACCAAACAGGCCGCGGGAGAAGAACACGATGAATGACATTGCTTGCATGCAAGGAAATGTCATTCAGTCAGGAAAGATCAGTGCATGCAAGTAAGAACAAAAAATGGAACAGATACACGCAGATGGAGACGATGTGCACGTTTGTCATGCAGTGCGTGCACGCGTTTGCGGACACGGGTCCCAAATAAGAGCAAATGAGGCAGGACATGGTGTGGTACAGCGTCGCATACGATGGAGGTTCATGACACGGGGGGGGGGGCAGGGGTGGGAAGAAGGAGGAGGAAAAACAACCAAGCATCAACAATGATGAAGCTTCATTCTTTTCAAACACACACACACACACACAGACGCACGCACATAAACACACAGACACACACACAGACACACACAATTCCCCCGTGAGTGCTACTGGATGCTGCATGCCTTGCTGACTTGGCGTTGCAATGGAGGTGGGTGGTCAGGCAGCGCTTGCAAATGCCCGCGTGATCGCCGTGGCATTGGCGCTAATTGTGTCGACAGCCGTGACGCCCTCCCTGCGTTGCTGACGTGACTGACGCGGTTCATCTTGGGTGAGCGCCGGCCGTTGCCTGCAGGCACGTGTGTCGTCGACGTGCGTGGCGAGACGCGTCTCTCGTGCGGGTGGCCTGCGTCTGGTGGCGAAGGGGACCGTTGCTGCTGCCGTCCGAGCGGCGACGGTGCGCCATCATCGCGCACGCTGCTGATGGATATGGCATCTTCCTCCGACAGGTGGCTCGCCTTGCTGTGCACGCGGCGTGGCGCCGGCAGGTCGCTCTCGCCACCAACGCCAGTCAGCCGCGTGTAGATCTGAGGTGTGCAGGGATGGGGAAGATGTAAAGGTGATTTGGTGAGGGGGGGGGAGGGGTGAGTGTATGAAATAGTGCGTGTGTGTGGTTGTGGTTGTGGTTGTGTGTGTGGTTGTGGTTGTGGTTGTGTGTGTGTGGTTGTGGTTGTGTGTGTGTGTGTGTGTGTGTGTGTGCTTGCGTGCGTGCGTGTGTGTGTGTGCGTGTTGTGAAGTGTTGATTTGTGCCCTGTGTGTAGGTATGCACGCAAATGTTGCATGTGCGCCTGCAGCAATCATTCGTACGCTCACACCCACACTCGTGTTTTGCTCGTCCTCTTTCCAAACGCCAGCCCACACTTGCAGGAGACTCACGAGCAAGCAGTCAAGAAAATCCAATCCCATCGCCGTGTTCATTCCTTCCTCATCAATGATCGCCTGCGTGTAGATGCAAATGAGGCACATGAGCACGATGTTGGATGGGGGCAGGCAGTGGTGGTGGCGCAAGGTGCCAGCAGCAGGGACAGGAGACACACACAGACACACAGACACACACAGACACACACACACAGTGTTAGAGCAGTCAGCCCACCTGGATTGCCTCTGTGTCGATGTCTTTGTCGTCAATCACGTTCTTCAGTTCATTCTCATCGATCAGCTGTTGTTTGTGGTTTGTGGTTTGTGGTTTGTGGTTTGTGGGTTTGTGGTTTGGATATGAGTGGATTGTGTTGTGTATGGTGTGTGTTGTGTGTATGTGTTGATGTGAAGCGATTGTTGGTGTTAGCGAACGTGAAAAGTAGACCGTATCATGGCAAACACACAACACAGGCACGCAAACACACACAACACAAACACAAACACACACACACACACACAAACACGAACACAAACACGAACACGCACACACACCCAACAGACACAGACACAGACACAGACACAGACACACACATACGCACAGCGGCAACTCACCCCTGATGCGTCTGCGTCTGCTTCCACAAACTTGCGCTCGCACTCGAGAACGAACTGGATGGGGAGGGTCGGAAAGTACGATGCAACCAACTCCAGGTCAACCGTGTCGTCCTCTTGCTCAACCTCAATATCGGGGCTCAGCTGTGGCGCTCGCTGTCGGTGGTGGTGATGGTGGCGATGATGGTGGTGGTGGTGGTGGGATGAGGGGGAATGACGATGCCGGCGGTGGTGGTGACGGCGCGTTCGGTGAATGACGCGAACATTGTTCGAGAATCCAAATATGTGCAACACACATTCACACACACACACACATTCACACACACATATATTCACACGCACATATTCACACACACACATTCACACGCACAAATATTCACACACACACATAATCCCCCCCCCCCCCCCCCCACACACACATTAACCCACACATTTCACACCTCGTGCAGGAATTTCTCTGCGAGCTTTTGTTTCTCCGTCCACTTTGCGCGCTGTGCATTCTCCTGTGACGGCGACCACGGCAGCACACGTGCAATGGTGAGCAGACGGCATGGAACACATGAACATGAGACGCAACGACGAATGACCAGAATGACGAGACACGTGGTTGACAGCAACATGCCATCCTCATTTCTATCACCACAACCACAACCACAACCACAACAATCACCGCCACTGCTAGAACTATCGCCAACACCATCCCCGCCACCACTACCATAACCATAACCATGACCAGCGCAGCAGCAGAGATGTGCACCTTCTTGTATGGGTCTGCGGGTGCCTTGACCATGGACTGTCGCGGTTTCCTTGCTCGACTCGCTGCCCTCTTCTTCTTTGCAGCCGCGCGCTTCTGTTAGAGGTACGTGCCGTGTTGGCAGGTGTTAACGTGTGTTGGATGGGTGCATATTGCATGATTGGTGTTTGGTGACGCAGACTCGCATGTATGTGCGTGCGTGCGTGCGCGTGCGCGTGCGCGTATGGCGAGCAATGGACGCATCTGCCACGCCCTTAGCCTATCCATACACACACAGACACACAGACACACACACACGCGTGCACACATTACCTTTGTGACGGCCTTCTCCTGTGCTTGGTGGAGATCGTACATCTCCGCCAACATCTTCTGGATGCTCGCGTCTTTGGCCTTGATCATAATCTGTTGCTCATCAGTCTGAAGCAAAAAACAAAAAAAAAGTAATAGAACAGTCGCAGTCGCGCGCCGTCGTTTGTGTGAGTGCATCCATGAGCCTTGTTGTGCTTGCAGTAGCCCTTGCATGTGCTTGTGCACGCACGGCATCCCCCCCCCCCATTCACACATCCACTCTCAATCGCTCCTTCACTTACATGTCCAATTTCTCACGCACGTACACACACACACACACACGCACATGCACGCACAACGACACACCTTCTGCTTGAGTGTCTCAATCTCGACCCTTGCATCGCGGAGCTGTGCTTCTAGCGTGGCAATGCGTTCTTGTGCTTGCACCTTGAACACACGGTACTGGTTGGCACAACCACGACACCGTCAGTGCGGGCGGCATTGTCATGAAAACAAAGCAGAGGATGCGATGAGTGACTCCAGGTTGTTCGATGCTCGGAAAAGCAGCACAAGCAAACAAATGTTCACACACACACACACACACACACACACACACACACACACACACACACACACACACACACACACACACACACACACACACACACAACAACACACACACACACACACACACACA